CAACAAGAGTGACGGGCACTATTCAGATCTGGAGGCTCTAGTCTTAACGGTTAGCTCTCGGCCTGACGGGTGCCCGGTCACCTGTAGGGTCGCCTTGAGGGTCGCGAGGCCGCAGGGCTTAAGGTTAGTGCTCCAACTAGCGACGTTCGCCTAGGCTGGCGCCGGTGTGGGGCCGGCCAGGAGGAGTCTGGGGCCTCCCCTAGCCGAGGCCCTCCTCAGACCAACAGGACAGCCATGACGTATAGTGTATTTCGACTAACGGAGGAAGAAGAATAGCGGATAGAACATAAACGTTACCGATTGGTCGAGAGCTTTCCGCCTCCACCGCACGCCGGTAGTGGGGGTGAGCGCTCGGCCAATCAGGAACCTTTATGTTCTACCCGCTATTCTTCTTCCTCAGTTAATCGATATACACTATTGCACATTTACTCTTCATTTTCGATAAAGGGGGTAGCAAGTCAGAGATCTAAAAGCACAACAGTTAACAACAAACAAGGAGGCAACATGATCAAGTTAGGCATTTTCACAACATATTGCATTTCCACTCACTCACCAGTCTCGGGACAACAAGAAACTGACACAGAAGTACGATACAGCGGAAGGGTCGGACGACTCTAGGACACTCGCTCTCGCTGAGCAACTACTCTCTTCTCTTGGTCGTCGGCGCGGCGGGGAGCGGAGACGAGACTGAGGGCCCGGGCGCTCTGGCGGCGTGGTGCAGGTGCTGGTCCTATGCGACTGTCCCGATTGCGTTCTGCACTGAACTGAACTCCCGTCCGATGTGACCTGTTTTTACTCTCCCACTCTGGCATGGCCCTCGAGTCGCTGCTGTGCCTTATATTTGTCTTTGTACTTCATATGTCTTTTACCACGGAAAAAATCGTTGTCGAAACTAAACGTGAGTTACAACTACTAAAATGTCAGTTGTGAGCGGTCCAGAGAACATTTTAGTTGACAGAACTACACAATATTTTCTGCAGTTAAAATTACACCGACATTGCCTGAAACAACATCCCGTTAGTGCTTTAAGCTAACGTATGCCGATGCTATCGTCGTCGCTATCGTCGGCAAACTCGTCCATGCCATTCCTAAACCGGAGGTCGGATCAAGTAGAACGAAAGCTCATTCGAAAGCCCAAAGAAGGACGGAAAAACTCCAAGCGGCCCATAGCGCGCCGGTCTGGCCCACTATCCGGGGCGGTAGGCAACACAAGGCGCGCGTATCCAACGCAACGCAACCACTCAGTGCAGCCAAGAGTGACGCCAGCCTATGGAACAGCCGGAACAGCCCAGGACAGACGCTCAAGATACATGGATAGGTGTTGAGGGAATACCCGGCGACACACGCACTCACGCACTTCAGACACATATTGCTATTGCGTAGCGGGAGACTAAAACTCCTTTACATGTACAGGGTGGTTCACAGACCCCTTCCTCTATTTTGCTTATACTGTACCGGATGCAGGCGTGCGGCCGGGTTGCATACTCGCACGGGGCCATGAGGTGAGCGACGGTAGGCAAGCCCGCCCTGTATGATAAACTGCTCATCTCAACACTCGCCCACTCTCTCCCTGACCTTCCCGACGCTACCCGCAGACGCCGACCTGCCTGTTGTGCCTGCTGCCCGACGTGCCGCTCCTGCGCATCTTGCCCTGCCTGTCTGGCGCGGACCTCTTCGCCGTGGCGCGCGCCTGCCTGCGGGTGGCCGCGCTCACCAGGACGCTCCAGTCCATCTGGCACGGGAAAAAATTCAGGGTGGAGCCTTCGGGC